AGAGTATTTAGCTTTTCAAAATAACTACAAATAATATATTGCTATCTCAGTCAACTTGTATTTATTTCTAGTAATTGGGATTATTTGAGTACTCTTCAATGATTCCCAAATCTGGCTGTATATTAGCATTACCTAGAGTGATTTTCTAAATACACATGCCTAGGCCCCACCTGAAATCTACTGAATCCAAATCTCTGAAGGTAAAACCTAGTAATTTGTATTCTTAAAAGCTTCCTAGGTAATTCTTATGAAGGCAGCCATACACTGCCAAGCTCATGAGTTGAACCATTGAGCAGGACCATTTCTTAATAAGTATGGGATGGCAATGAGGCACTTGACTGAAGCTGTGGTCTGGTCATCACATATTAGAAATAAAGACACAAACTTTACTTCTCTACATCCCAAGTCCTTCTAAAATGTCACTCCTTTTAATTATGTAATATCTACATTCAACACACACACTCAAACTAAGAATATTCATTACTTTATAAAACTATTTTACAACATGAGATGCACTGTGATTCTTCCTGTGTTATAAATGTATCAATGACTTTTTTTTTTTATAAAAGGAAGAAGGAAGGAAAGAAAGAACAAAGGAATAAAGGAAATAGGAAGGTGGCAGGACAATAATATTTAGGTTTCAATTGTTTGAATCAAGTGTGAGGAAGGAATTTTGCACACTATCTCAATATACTCTGACAAGATTTATGTTAATCTGTATATAATATCAGTGTTCTTCATTCACCACCATGAGGAGCCTGAATTGAGTCCAAAGCTGGGGTCAATTTACCCATTTAACAATAAAATTTGTTCAATCTCGTCAACATAATTTACGTGTATTTTAAATCAGCTGGTTGTGAGTTTAAGTACATTCGTATCAAGAGCTACCCATAAAGAATCACCACTCAGCCTGGAATATGTCAAACCTTAATAATTTAGTCTCTCATGCATCATGTTTTTCAGGTGGTACCTAATAAGATATGCTTGTAGAAACCTCTGAAATGACATAATTTTTGTAGTTGAAGATCTATAATCTAATAATATAAATACTCAGGCTATAATATAGAGCTTGGTTCTTAGACTTGAGTTTCTGGGTATTGTTGGCTGAAAGGCATCTGGTGCCACCCAAAGCCTATTCAGAGTCATGTAAAATTCATTCTGAAGGAACATTCAGAGAAGTTACACCAAGTGCTTGAAGTCAGATTGTATTTTGAAGAAAAAGCAGAGGGAGAAGCTGCAGATGTAAGCAACGCCCCAGCACAACTGAGAATGGTTAGTTCACTTCAGAAGTGCATTGTTCCTTGGGCCAGGAGTTGTGTAGGTGTTCCTATCTGCCTGAAACAGGCAACAGCAACTCTTTTGGTGGCCATGTTAGGTTCAGGGGTACAGAGAAGATGGTGTTTGATGAGTCCAGGCTTGGGGGTGGGGAGGGAGATGGTTTCCAGTGACAGCATGGAGTAAGAGAGGGCCTGGGCATGGGCTAAGTAGTGCTCAAAATGCATGATGAGACAGAAATCTAAGTGTAGAAGTTTTACTCTCTACCCTGATGGTCCACAACACCTGCCCTCAGCAAGCCAGGAGTTCAAGGAGGCGTCAATAAATACATTTAATGATGGTCATAATCTTGAGCTCACTCTTGATACCTCCCAACCTCAAATACACTATTTCAATTGGTAGCAATATGATTCTGCACAAAACACAGAGCCTGGTGGTTTCCCAAATTCTATGTGGCTTTGCCTTTTGTATCTATCAATTTAATTTTGCTTTATTGTTGGAACTCTGGAGGAATTTGCAAAATTAAAAGCCTTGCTGCACTTGTGAACGAAATTTTGTTTAAGTTGCTGTCCTGTTTTGCTCTGTTTTTCCTGGAGAGGCACACACTTTTGCACTTTCACAATAAAACACTACATTCCTGATACTCTTGTCACTGAACAAGAGGAACAAGTGTGAGACCACAAGAGTTCACATTTGCAGCAGTGAATCCACAGACCCACTCTCAAGTCTCAGGCATCCATGCCTGTCTCAGAGTCACAATAGGTCATAGCTCACTGGACTCCATACATAATTAGGTATTAAAGGTGAAATCCAAAATAATTTAAAATATAAGAGAATAGATGAATATTGAGGAAGATTTTAGACAGTTGGGTCACCTGTCACCTAGAAGCTATATCTTCTTTCCCTTATTCACACCATACTACACAGCCAAGAGACCCAACTATATGAGTTATCCAGGCATTGGGTATTATTCTTTTTATTATGGCTAATGTTACCTATTTATTAAGGTTCACAAAGCACATACTGTGCAATATGTTTTGGGTGCATATGGAGGTTTCTAACTTGATTCTGCTGCCAATATGAAGCTTTGGTACTAATGGCTAGTCATAAAGTGACTTCTTCAAATTAGTTGCTTGAAAGAACACTAAAACAGAGGAGGTATAGGTACCAAATTATATCTTAAAATATCACTTTTAGAGTGGGTTTACGCCATTTTCCCAATTTAATACCACTTGATTTCTAATGGGACATCCACTTAAATTCATTTTAATCTGACACTCTAAAATGCATGATGTGTGTAATAGTTTGTAGGTGAGAATACTGTATAGATATTAGTCAAATGAAATACCAACCACCACCCATTGTTATTGTCACAATTCCTAATGGAGGATATGTGGACTATATTATATAGGACAAATAAAAACATAATACTTTTTCACAGCTTCTAAATTCTATGACTGCAGCTAGAATGAGTTAATTTATACAGTACCTTGCAAACACATATAGCAACAGTGTAACTATAATAATAAACTGTACTAGGTTGGCAAAATGGTAACAGATTAGACCACTGACTCAGACTAGAGCTTCAAAGATACATTTAGATTATATTGTATGAAAAATGTAGTTTACATCCGGTCTAATAGTTCTCTGGCATATTCTTCATTCTGACATTTGTGACAATGTAAATGGCTACTTCTTCTCTAAGTAAAATCATATAAACTAAGAAAGAGTTTGTTATTCTTCTGACAAACTGAATGTATATACAATTCATGTCTTGGGTCTTATTACCAATTAACAGATAATGAAGTGGATTTTCAATGATGCTTTTAAAATATGCTTCCCATAGATAATCTTAACTATAGAAAGAATAATCATATGTTTACAATAGTTGTTGAGACAAATCTTTACAAAAAGCAGAGAAATAGATTGGATGATTCCTGGAAGTCTTGTTCAGCCTTATGGTTACAAAACACATTGTTTACCACCAAAATGTTTACTGATTTACTACATCATAATAAGCTCTAAGTTACTGTGCAGAATAAGGATAAATGACTTCAGTGAGCTTGGTTTTCTCCCCATACTCCCATGCTATAAGGAGCCCCTCTCAGCACAGCTAAGGTATTTCCTAACTTGGCATGAGGATTTAGGTGCTCCCAGCCTGGTCTGTCCACATTGACTGTAAACCTCCTCCCTATTCCCTGTGAAGGAAGGGGGTTAATCTCCCAGTCCCCTGAAAAGATTCCTTTCTGAGTAATTACCCCCATGAGAGCACCCTGTCCTCAGCCTACACAGCCTCCAGTAAACACCCTGGTCTTCTCACCCCAACGTGGTTCAAAACAGAGACCTAGACTCAGGGAAGAGAGGGACAGGCAAGGACTCAGAGAGCTCGGGGTCTAGGTCTTGTCTCCACGCGAAGAGTGTTGCACTAGCATCCTCATAAGCCCCAGGGTGAGAACAGAGTTCAACAATTATAAAAGTGATCCTCATTATAACAAGTACTTTGCATATCTATAAATGTTTTCTAGCTACACACTTAGAGAACTTAAAAACACTAATTAAGCCTCATAGACTACATTGGATGCTAGTTAGTATGCTCCTTAGCTGAGTTATATCATAACCAAATCATAATGTAGCCAAAATCTCTGACCAGAAAAAGAAAAACATTACTTTCAGTTGACATAAGTTACCAATGACTATACCTATTGGAGTAAGAAAATGGCCACCCTAAGGTTTCAAGGAAACAAATGCTTCCAGCTCATGAAATTCAATAGAAATTTAGGTTTTATATCTGATCCAAAATAGGAAAACTCTGGACACACTGTGCTCCTAATTTCAGAGTGAGTCTGTAACTACATTTTCATGCAGTGCTAATTAATGGGAACGTGTCTTCATTTTAGCCAAACATGTGATGGAAGCCTATTGGTAACTATGGTGATTACTAGGTCTAAAGGTTAGACCTAGTTCAGCGCTCATGAAGGTGATTCACTGAATTTAAAAGCCACATCAATCAAACTGCAGAAGAACATTTTTTTTTATCTCAAAGTCATAAAATACAAGTTTATCCTTGCTTTTTATCATGCAAGGAGAAACAACATCCTTGGCAACATGTCCTGCACCTCTTTCTCACTAATGCCACTATTCAGGGATCTGCGCCCGAGAGTGGCAGTTAACCCTTAGCAGGCATCCAACAAGGAAGGGGAAGGGGAGTACTAACATGTCATTTAGTACGATTCTGTTTATCAGAATGCACTTTAGTATGTTGCAAGAACTACCTCTATTTATAAGTGCTAAATTGAAAAGGGTCCGATGTAGCAGAGCATTTCATTTTAACCGTATTTGTCAGAAGATGGCAAAAAGACCTTTCCTTAATTTTGGTTACAGATATATCTGCTATTAGGAAATTCCATTTCCTCTGGATTCCATGCTACATTAGTTAAATCTAAAAGATATATTTACTAAGCAGACAAACAATGCTTTCTCAGCATCTGAAATCCTTGGTTATATGTATTCTCAGTCCAAGCACTAATTTCTCTAAACAAGTGAAACAATATTAGATTAACAGGTTAGAGTCACATAATATACCAACTATACAGTAGCAGATTCTGAAAATCTATTAATGTTGTGTGAAATGTAATCATCTAGAAGAAGAAATGTGTATAAAAATAGGTAATATCCCTAAAATATTTTGCTGAGTTACAGTTCTTCCTGCTGGGAAGTTTACCACACCGCCGTGATATACATATGAAATGTCTGTTCAGAAAAACCAAATTAGAAAATATTCCTCACATACCAACTCACTAAATGTAGGAATATGTAATCAAAACTGGCTCTCAAAAGTGATACAAATATATAGGGAAAGATACCTGTATGTGTGAGAAACAGGAAAACACAGAATCTATTTATTGGTTAGTTGTGAAAGGGGGCCCATACTTGTAATTAAAATATAGATATGACCAAAAACACTCAGATGGATGGACACGTCCTATTTCTCCCCTGCCCTCCAGTTTTTTTATTGACAGTCATCACCCACCTTTTTCTAGGATTATTGCCTGACATAACACAGAAATTCCTCTGCTTGTTCTCAACAAAGCAGTGAAAGAGAAGCAATCTCTTTCCACTCTCCAGTGGTGACCCATGCTCTGGGCTTGTGCTTTTTGGAGGAGTCTTTGATCTGCAGCAGGTCTCAGAGGCTCGTCTCCCGGAGGAACATGGTGCCAATGTTGTAGGAAACCTTTTTTATTCTCGATGAAGAAAGAGAAGTCTTCGGCTGCTTAGGACCAGTCCTTACCTCCAGAAAATAGCAGATCCCAGGGATTTCCTTTGGAAAGTTGTCTGGAAGCTCTTCACGGGATCGAGGAATGAATGTGAAACTTTCTTCCCATTTTAATAATCTAAGAAGAAAATATAGACAATGCGAATCAAATAGGCAGGGGAAATGTGAATAAATGGATAGAAATTTTAAAGAGTCAGGAAGCCTATCAATGACTGTGCTCATGCTAACGCCCCTATTTCTTTGTATAGAGTGGCCTTCATAGGATTCTAAATGCTAGGAAATGTTACTTCTCCAGAAAGATCCCTTCATGTTATAATAATAATAAAAACACAAAGCTGTTCCTGGTACTACTTGAAAATATTTGTTCAAGTTTGACTTTTCTAAACAAAAGGTTAAGGAAACTGCATAATACAAGTTTTTATTAAAACATGTAGGATTTACCCTTTCTGTTTTTAAGACCTGCCCAAATTCTAAAACACTCTTTTTATGTTTTGTAGACTCTTGATAAGTTTTAAATGTGTGTGCTGTGTGTCAAACACATAAATCAAGTATTTAGCTTTGTAGAACAACATTCATGACTCCAAATGTCTGTGATATCTGGTTACTGATTCCTGGCAATACATATTTTCTAAACTAACTAGCATTATTGGTCAAACAGCTTAATTCTTCCCTTCCAGTAACACATCAAGACTCTTCTAGTACACTAACACTGGAGATTTATTCTTGTTCAGTTCCATGAAAGGTTCAGTTTTATGCCCATATTTAAAAATGTGGCCCAGTAATTCAATTTAATTTAACAACTCTTATGAGCTACTTCTTATTGCCCAAGAAAAATTTCCTAGACACTCTTATGAATATAATGGCAAGTAGAACACAACCTAAGAAGCTTAAAGTTTTGTCAACGGAGATAGAAACAGGGAATAAAAGAAGCAGGAAATAAAAACTGAATAAACAACCCAAAAAATACAGTAAATACAAAAAATTCTGTTCTATTAAAACAGAACAGACTAGATGCCATAAGAAAGGTAGATAGAAAAAGGGACTGAAGTCCAGAAGAGGAAAAACGTTTGCAGTGGGAGGACCACAAAGCCTTCTTGGATGAGATGGTACTTAAAGATGGGCAGAATTTCAACAGGTGAACGTGGAGAACAACATAATCAAAGGTTTAGAAACAAGAATATTATGATCAGGATCAATACGTTTCCAACCATTCCAACAGAATGAGGTAAGGGTGAGAGATAAGGCTGAGGCAGTAGATTAAGACAAAGTTTTGAAATCCTAAATTAAAAGTTTAGACTGTATTTGGAAGGCACAATGGAGCCAAACCCATCACCTTTTTCCTAAAAACAACTCATCCTCCTAAAACAGGTTAATGTTACAAACAGATCCAAGTTATTCAGTATAAGAGATGGGCCGGGGAAAAGGAATCACTGTGACGGAGAGAAGGCAAAGTCTTCTTCTTCTCAAAAGCCAATGAGTTCAAGGAGAACAAAGAATGTGTGAAAATGTAAGATCATTGCACAAGCAATGATAATTATCTTTACACAAAGGAGAAGAAAAAAAATCATTCCTTTTCAAAGGTTCTTAATGGATAGAATATATCTGAAAATAACAGTTGGAGGTGTTAAGAATTCTTACAATATGAGCAATCTATATTTATGTTTATGAACTGGAGTTATAGCATTTTGCCTTATAAAGAAAAAAAAAATCTAATTCACCATCCCTTAAAAAGTACTATACAAGGATTATATTAACTTGGGATATGAGGAAGTGAGGCTCATTCCAACATTTCAAAATTCTTTCAAATGCCTTATCATTTCATCCGCATGACATACTCCTGTGCAGAAGCAAAACATGCTCTTCTCTGACAAAAGGGTGAAAGTGAGTCCAGAATAAGTTTGAGTGATTTGGTCATGAAAGGAGCAAACAGCAGTGGCACGGGAACTGGCATCCAGATCTGCTAACTCCTAGTCAAGCTTAGCCCTACAGTAAATAGTAAGACTACACCAAGATAGCTTTCCATCAAATAATCACTAAACTGGGATGTAGGTGGGGCATTAATGACAATCAGAATGGAAATCATCATTACTGTTTGCTTTCTTTTTGTTTTCACAGATGTTGGTTTTATTCGCATATAATACATAATTAATCACTTCAGAAATAAAATGTAAAATTCCCTAAAAAATAGTTTAGGTTAGCAATGAATTCAACAACAATTTTGCTTAGCTCAAACAGAACAGTCATCGATGTGCAACATGTCAGTGTCAATCAATGATGTCAATCAATCAGCATTTGTTGAGTGCCTGTCACATGCTAAAATAGTCCTCTGAATGGAGGAAAGTAAGTAGGGATGCACAGAATAAGTTAATATAAAATTAAAAAGACAAGAAATACTGATAGAAACAAATTAGCAATACAAGGCAGTATATGGACATATGATACAATCCAAAGGAGGAAATTCTGTAGGGCAAAGGGAGAAATGATGACTGCGGATCTTAGCAGGAAAGTCAAGAACCCGAGCAATAAAGTTCACTTCCACCAACTCTAAAACAGAGCCATAAACTCAGTCTTGCCTGCAAGTTTCTTTAAAGACCCATAATCAACAAATAGGACTCCACATGAGCTACATTCCTCTCTCCCTGAATGTTAAGCCCTCTAATTTCTCTCTTTCATGGTTTGTTTGCCTCACCAAGGTCTTTATATTTTGCTATAATTGAGATTTTCTGACAGTGAAAAATAAAATTGGGGTTACATCTATGAAAGTACTTGTAAATAACTCAAAAAAAAGGGTGCACTAGCTGCTTTTGATGCCAGGGCTTTTAAATAATTCACTCCACTTTGGCTGGAAAGAAACTCTTCACAATTAATTGATCTCTTGACATTTTAAATACATCTCATATATACTGTGCTAAAAATCACAGAGACCACAGCTTTTATGGGATTTTATTCTTTTCCAAGTAAACATTTTGGTATCAATAAACTAAATATGGTTTTAAATTTCAATAATAAAAATGAGAGCACACATAAGGATAAATTGATCCAAGCCTCTGTGATATCCAGGCTTTGGCAGCCTTTGTGTATATGAACACTGAGGTGCAATATTCAGATGACTTCCAAAAGGACCATCTGAATGAGTTACTGGTGGGTCTGTGCAGGAGGTCAGGGGAAACATTGCCCACAGCATGCCTGGTGATGATGAGGCATGGTGCTGAATAAACGATCAAAAGTGTATACAGGGATTAGGAATTGAGACACCGATCACCCCAGAAACTCTGATCCCCTCCAAAATGCTTTATTAAGTCCAATCCTTGGGCTGGCTCTAAAGCTCTGCATAACAAACCATTTCTTCAACAACTGAGGACAGATATGGAAGCTTAGATTCTACATAAATCTAAATTAATCCCCAGCTATAATCCCCAGCTGGTTGATAGACAACCTGGGAGTTTCAGCAACATGTTTAATAAGTATTTTTAAGCCACACAAATCTTAGTTTACCTGCCTGTCACCCTTCCTCGTCTCAACAGAGATTTTTCTACAAATTGATTTTAAGATGAAAATTCATTGCTCCTTTGGATCAATGGATGGCCCCCCAAGCATGTGAGGCAAGCTTGATACCATGGAGGTCCATGGAGCTGCTCCCTTATCGCTGCAGAAATGAAGCTGGTCTCCGATTCGCTCTTGGTTATGCACCCATTTCCCCCTGTTTTCACCAAGCTTTGTGCTCTGTCCTATATTCTGTCTTGGAAAAAGACCTTCTGTCCTATATTCTGTCTTGGAAAAAGACCTGAAACTTATTCACACTGAGGTACAAATGACCCAAATGTAACTTACATTTGTGTTAAAACAAGATTCAGAGTTAAAAAAACATAATGGAATTTTAATGGAGACATCTCAGGCACCTATTCTGGCATTTATTGTCTTCTCCAAATCGTACATTCAATTGGTATATATAAAGTACATCTATAAGGCTGAGATCAGAATTTGGTCTTTTATTCCTCTATCTTTTTCTCCAATTCTATGCTTTGATTCCATTACTAATTAGGGAGGTCTTTATGGCCACTTGCTATGTGCATTTCCCATACTACTCCAAGACTGTAGAATTAGGAAAGATAATCAATCACGCAATTCTCAAGCCAGGCTTCACCCTCAAATCTAGAATCATGCAGGCATTTGGTCAGTGAGTTCAGCAGTCAGCCAGCCAACAGTTAGCTATTAAGTGTGTTCTATAAGCTAGGTGCTGAACCAACATGTTCCTACTTCATCATAGTAGTTGATCATAGTAGTTATGGAGAAAGAGAAGACTGAGAGGGAAAGAAGAAGGAATTTTGACTTTTGCTAAAAATGTCTTTCCATAAAGTGGCATTTTTGTTTGTTTGTTTTAGTTGAGTGGACTTCATGGACAACTCCAAAGACCTTAACCTTACTGAAATTAATAGATCTAGTTCCAGCTTCTAATAATGACCAACTAGTAATATGCAGTCCTCTAACACCCGCATGTTTGAAATCATCATGCAAGACTGGAAAATCTTTTGTTTGTTTCAGCAGTTGGAAAGGTCTGTGTAATGTGCAGAGCTATAACAGAGCAACAACTCGGACTGCTATCTACCAGAGTGATCACAAACTTGTCTATGACTTACCATGCTTTTCTACCACAGGATGCTTTAAGACCAAGGCAAGAGACAATAGAATATGATGCATCTTGCAGAGCTGAGGGCTAAAAAGGATATGTAGGCAGTGACCATTTAAAGACTTTGAATGTCTGAAATGTCCTTAGTTCACTCTTCTCTCAACTTCATTGGTTTGATTAGGCATTAAATTCTTGTTTGCAAATTATTTTCTCGACAGTATTTTGCTGCTAAAAAGGCAGATGCTATTCTGTTTCCTAATCCAGTAGATGTAAACTTTCTCCTAATCTGTCAGTCTCTTTCTCTCTCTCTCTCTCACACATCATCATCATCATCATCATCATTATCATCATCAATCTCTGGTGGTTTAAGAATTAATGATAATATGCCTCAATGTATCTTTTTTATTCATTAAAATGACCACTAGTGGAACCTTTTGATACAGCAAGTTGTATCTTTCAGTTCTGGGAAATTTTTTGTGTTATTTCTTTGA